AATAAAGGATCTAATATAGTCTAGAATATATTGACTTATGACTGAACATTAGAAAGACAACCTGATTAAGAAATAGGCAAAGGATTTGAATAGACATTTCTCCCAAAGAAAAACCACACATATCCAGTAAGTACAAGGAAAAATATTCAACATGATTAGTTATTGGGTAAATACAAATCAATACCATAACAAGATACCACTTCACACAGAAAGTGGATGTAATATGTGTTAAAAAAAAAAAAAACCAAATATTGGTACTAATTATTTAAACATTTAAAAGAATTCAGCAGTAAAACATCTGGTCTTGGATTTTTCACTATGGGTAGATTTTCAGTTATTAATTTTATCTCTGCACTTACAGGTCTATTCAGATTTTGTTTTCTTTATTGAATTTTGGTACCTTGTAACTTCCTAAGAATTTTGTCGATTTCATCTAGGTTATCTAATTTGTTGGTATCATTTGTTTGTAATCTTTTCTAGTCTGTGACATTGATAATAATGTCTGTTCTTGGCTCGGCGCCTGTGGCTCAAGTGGCTAAGGCGCCAGCCACATACACCTAAGGTGGCGGGTTCAAATCCAGCCTGGGCCCGCCAAAAACAACAATGACGGCTGCAACCAAAAAGTAGCCAGGCATTGTGGCAGGCACCTGTGGTCCCAGCTACTTGGGAGGCAGAGGTAAGAGACTCGCTTGAGCCCAGTGCTGATGCCACAGCACTCTACCCAGGGTGACTGCTTGAGGCTCTGTCTCAATAAATAAATAAATGAATAATAATGTCTGTTCTTTCATCCCTAATTATATTAATTTGAATATTTCTCTTTTTCTTGATTAGTCTAACTAAAGATTTGTCAATTTTATTGATCTTTTCAAAGAACCAATTTTTGGTTTGTTTTCTTATTCTTTATTTCATTTATTTCTGCTTTACTATTTATTATTTCCTTCCTTCTGTTTGATTTAGGTTTATTTTGCTCTTTTTCTATTTGTTTCTTTCTTTGTTTGTTTCTTACAGTGGAAAGTAAGTTATTGACTTGTCATCTTTTTTTGTAGGTATATACAGCTATATATTTCCCTCATACTGTGGTATTTTCACTTTTACTTATCTCAAGGTATTTTTGTAATTTTTCTTGTGATTTCGTCTTTAACACATTGGTTAGTTAAGTTTTCTGTTTAGGCTTGGCACCTGTGGCTCAAGCAGCTAAGGGGCCAGTCACATACACCTGAGCTGGCAGGTTTGAATCCAGCCTGGGCCCACCAAACAACAATGATGGCTGCAACAAAAAATAGCCAGGTGTTGCGGTGGATGCCTGTAGTCCCAGCTACTTGGGAGGCAGAGGCAGGAGAATTTATTGAGCCCAGAAGTTGGAGGTTGCTGTGAGCTGTGATGCCACAGCACTCTACCCAGGCCAACAGCTTGAGGCTTTGTCTCAGAAAAAAGTTTGCTATTTAACTCCATGTAGTGTTTATTTACCCAAATTTGCTTCTCTTAGAGATTTCTAACTCCCTTACATAGTGCTTGGTGAACAGGCTTTATATGACTTCCATCCTTTTAAATTTGACACTTACTTTATGGCCTAACATATGATCTATCCCAGAAAAGAGAATGCAGATATCCTTGTGCAAATATCTATATGCATATGAAAAGAATGTGTGTATTCTGCTATTATTAGATGGAGTGTTCTATAAATACTAAATCTGGATAGTTTATCATATTGTTCAAATTTTCTGTTTCCTTACTCATCATCTATCTACTTGTTTCAACCATTATTGAAAAGGATATATTAAAGTCTGCATTTTTTAATTGTCTATTTTTACTTTCAATTCTGTCAGTTTTTTCTCATGTATTTTGAGGCCTTGTTTTTTGGTGCATATATGTCTTTGCATAATTAGTTCTTCCAGATAGATTGACCTTGTTATCATTATGAAAGTATCCTTCTTTATCTCTAGTAAATATTTTTATCCTCTGACATTACTATAGCCATACCAATTCTCTTTTGGATACTAATTTTATGGTATATATTTTTCCATTCTTTTACTTTCAGTGTATTTGTATCTTTGGATTTAAATGTGTAACCTGTAGACATAGTTGGATGATTTTTTTTAATTCATTCTTTCCAGCCCTGTCTTTTTATTGGAGTGTTTAATTCATTTATGTTTATTATAATTATCAGTAATTTTTTTTTTTTTGCAGTTTCTGGCTGGGGCTAGGTTTGAACCTGCCACCTCCAGCATATGGGGCTAGCGTCCTATTCCTTTGAGCCACAGGTGCCACCCAATTATCAGTAATTTTTATATTTGTTTTATATAGAACTTATGTCACCCTTGTTCCTCTATTCCTAGTCTAAATATTTTCATACTCTTTTGTGCTATTATTGTCATTCAAGTTACATCTTTATATATTATAATTTCATCAGTACACCTTTGTGTATGCTCTTTATTTCTTCACTTGGATTTAAGTTACTATCCAATGTTCTTTTATAGTAGTTTGAGGGACTCCCTGTAGCATTTCTTTTGGGGTAGGTCTATAAGTAGCATATTCTCTCAGTTTTTGTCTGTGAATATCTTAATTTATTCATTTTTGAAGGCTCAGCACCCATAGTTCAGTAGTTTGGGTGCCAGCCACATATATGGGGGCTGGCAGGTTCAAACCCAACCCTAGCCTATTTATTTTTGAATGATAGTTTTGCGGGATATAGGCTTCTTGGGTGACAGTCTTTCTTTTCAGATTGTGAATATGTGTGCCTTCTCTCTTCTATCGTATCTGATGATAAGTTACCTTTACTCTTACTGAGCATCATTTGTACATGATGAATTATTTTTCTCATTGCTTTCAAGATTTTCTTTGTTTTTGGCTTTTGACAGTTTGATTCTATGTCTGTATGTGGATCTCTTTGACTTTATCCCATTTAGAATTCATTGAAATTCTTGGATATGTGTATTCAAGTTTTTTTCCATCAAATTTGAAAAGTTTTGGCCATGATTTCTTCCCCTTTCACTCTCTTTTCCCTTTCTGGTACTAAACATCCTTTAGTTTTTTGTATATCTTTGTACCTTAGTGATGCCCCACAGGTCTTGGAGGCTTTGCCCTCCTATTAGCAGTTAACCTATCTTCAAATTTGCTGATTTTTCTGCAAGCTCAAATCTGCTTCTGAGCCCCTCTGGTGAATTTTTCATTTTAGTTATTATATGTTTCAAATTGAGAATTTCTATTTAACGTTTTTAAAATAATTTCTATATTTTTATTGATATCCTCTATTTTGTGTGATGGTGTTCTTGTACTTTCTTTTAAGCATTATTTCCTTTAGTTTTTTGTTAAATTTTTTTCTTAGTATATTCAACATTTGACCTACCTCAGGGAAAGTTTTTATTGACTTCTTCTCTCCTGTGTATAGGCCATACATTCCTATTTCTTTTTATGTATTATAATTTTTACTGAAAATGGACATTTTAATATGACCACTCTAGAAATCAGATATCTTTTCTACATCCCCACAGCTTGTTATTTTTGCTTTTTATTGTTTTGTGGTTGATGATGTTTCTTTCTGTCTTTTTCTTCCCTTTTTTTTTTTACTAAATCATAGCTGTGTACATTAATGCAATCATGGGGTACAATGTGCTGGTTTTACATACAATTTGAATTGCTTTCATCAAAGGGGTCAACATAGCCTTCACGGCATTTTCTTAGTTATTGTATTAAGACATTTATATTCTACACCTGGTAAATTTCACATGTACCTGTACCCTTGTAAGATGTACCATAGGTGTGATCCACCAGCTACTCTCCCTCCACCCATCCTCCCCCCTCCCCTCCTTCTCCCCTTTCCTCTTCTTTTTGGGCTACAATTGGTTTCATAGTAAGACTGAGTACATTGGATACTTTTTCTTCCATTCTTGAGATACTTTGCTAAGAAGAATATGTTTCAGCTCCATCCATGTAAACATGTAAGAGGTAAAGTCTCCATCTTTCTTTAAGGCTGCATAATATTCCATGGTATACATATACCACAATTTATTGATCCATTCATGGGTCAATGGACATTTGGGCTTCTTCCATGACTTAGCAGTTATGAATAGGGCTGCAGTAAACATTCTGGTATATATATCTTTGTTATAATGTGATTTTTGGTCTTCTGGATATATACCTAGTAGAGGAATTGTAGGATCAAATGGCAGGTCTATTTTTAGATCTCTAAGTGTTCTCCAAAAATCATTCCAAAAGGAACATGTTAGTTTGCATTCCCACCAGCAATGTAGAAGTGTTCCCGTTTCTCCACATCCACGCCAACATCTCTGGTTTATGATGTGGGCTAATCTTACTGGAGTCAGATGATATCTCAAAGTAGTTTTGATTTGCATTTCTCTGATGATTAAGGATGATGAGCATTTTTGCAACTGCCATGGCTCCACCGCTTCTTGTTTTCAAGGTTACTGTGGAGACATGGAAAGAGAGAGGATAGAAATAGGACAAGTTAAAATGCAATAAAGCTCATTGATCTTGCTGAGATTCTTACATTTTTCTTGAATAAACAAGGCTTAGATTAACTGGTCTTAGCCACCTCATTGCTTTCATGGAGGAGCAGATTTTCAGAGGTTTATGCACTAAAGCCCTTCTCCCAACAGTGTGTTCTTAATTTCAAAAAAACATGTTCTTAAAAACAAGTGCTCAGGGGCCATGCCCCAGAGAATGAGGCCCAGGGACTCAGTTAGATACCAGTTCTGCTGGATTCTCATCTGCCCTATGCTTTAGGTTTGGGATGCTGTGGATATAGAGTAGATAAAAAGCCTCCCCCATTCTGTCCAATTTGGGTCTGCTCTCATATGGCCTGTGAGAATACCCAGAATTCACTCTAATATAGCTCTCTATGAGAGAAGCAACTCACAAATAAAACCAGAATCTAACTTACTGGTCCTACCCATTCTCATAGTCCAGTGGCCAGAAGGAGCCATTGAGGAAATGCATACTGTGGTGGTAGTATGTCACATTAGCTTTTCCTCTGTGGTCAGGAATTCTTGCTGAAGATTTTCTGTGTGTTCCGGAACCTGATGAAGATGACCGTCTTCCCTCGAGACTGGATGGTGATGAGACTACTCACAAGCAAGTGAGTATGGAAGGGGCCCTACATCAACGTCCACAGAACTGTCTCAGAAGTATGTGTTTATTTGAAAGACAGAGCATGAGCAAGATGAAAATGAAGGCCAAGGCCATAAGAACACAGAGGAGAGGGCAAATGGGAAAAATGTTTGGAGGCATAATTAACAGGCTTGACCGACAAGGAGAGGAAAGAATCAAAGATAATCATAAATGGAATTTAAGAGCCTTTTAGATGATGGCATAATGAGGCTAGAAAAAGAAGTTTTAAGGGTGTGAAATATAATACTCAGAAAATGTTTCCTGCTTGAGGAAGACCTGCTCAGTGGCATTTCATCCTCTGCTATTCTGTAGCTTTAGGCATTATCCCAAGCCCTTTCCTCAATTTGAATTGTGTTATATTCCAGACAGAGCTTGCATCCCCCCATTAGTGCCATTTACCTACTTGAGACCTATCTATAAGAATTTGCTCTAGAGGCTGGGCACAGTGGCTCATGTCTGTAGTCCTAGAACTCTGGGAGGCTGAGGCAGGTGGATTGCTTGAGCTCATGAGTTCAAGAACAGCCTGAGCAAAAAGCGAGACCCTCCCCCCATCTCTACTAAAAATAGAAAAACTGAGCCAAGAGGATCGCATGAGCCCAAGAGTTGGAGGTTGCTGTGAGCTATGACGCCATGGCATGCTACCCAGGGCAAGAGCTTGAGTCTCTGTCTCAAAAAAAAAAAAAAAGAAAGAAAGAAAGAAAGGAAAAGAATTTGCTCTAGGGATAATGCTGACCTGCTTTCCCCATTCACATTTCTAACTTGTGCTTCCTCTTGGAAAACCAGATGAGTGATATATGTGGTAAGGGGCTGGTTCATCTGATCTCCCTCTACGCAGGAGAAAACTAGTTGGTCTCCATACTTTAGCCCATTGCTTCCTCTCACTGATCTACCTTTTATATGGGCATTGTATAAAATGTAGTGAAATTATTTATTAGATATATTAGCATGGTCCAGGTATGTTCTTTCCACTTAGTACCTTTTGTAGGGCACTACCACTTTTTCTAAAACCTTCAGATGTTTTATACAGAACAAAAGAATGATTATAAACAAAGTTGCACAGATATTTTTCAAGTAGTGACCTGACTCTTCCATTTGAATCCTTCTTATTCCTACCTTTACTCTCACAAGTACTTCAGGTTCACCAGCCTATCCTACAGGAGCAGCCTCTTCTTTTGAGGCTTTTAGCCTTTAAATTTGTCACACTCTCTGCTAATGGACTAATCTCTCTAAAACACTATTTTTACCTTGTCCTTCTCTGCAACAAATCCAAGAACTGGACTTATGTGAGATGTAAGTTCCTTTGCCAGGCAGGCAAGGCTCTGTGTAATCAAACCTTCACTTACCTGTTACACTTTACTTTCTCTCCACTTCACTCTCCTATCCCAGCAGGATACCTCTTATTGACTGCTATATGCCCAGGCTAAGATTCAGAGTGAGACTCTAGACCCAGGGCTAAAATCAAATCACTCATAGATAAAAATAATAGTATATGACAAAAGCAAGGATTTAAAAATTGTCAAGTAAAAAAATAAAACTATATTCTAAATCCTACAAAGTAATCATTGTATGTATGGATTTCTCAAGTTCCCCCAAATACTGGAATCCCTCTTTGAATCAGAAGAAACCTTAAAGAATCATAGAACTCTACCCATTTCCTTTTATAGGCATGGAAACTGAGGCACAGATAGAAGAAGTATAAAGACCAGGTAATGATAGAGCTAGATCTACAATCCACTAATGTCCTGTGCCTTCCTGACAACTATGGAGCATTTCTCTAAGACTGGTTTTCTGCAGTTTGTGCCATCTTCCCTTTCCTTTATAGTCACATCTTATATGGGAATAAGTTTACTCAAGAAGTTTCTGTACAGGCCATAGATAAACGATGTTGAGGTATCGAATGTAATTGTTAGTCTCGTAATTCTGCCAATGTCCTGTTTCCTTACTTTTAGTATTATAGTCACCACTGTTCAGTACCTGTCCTCTGCACTGCACAAGAATTTCACAGAGACAGACTTTGACTTTAAGGTATGTGCACCTGAAATCCATCACTATCTTTGCAATTACCCTAGAAAGCCAAAACCAAGCTTACTTGTTTTCTTTATTAATATATTCAGAGTCTCAAACTTCCAAGCCTGATGGTGATTATAATATGACCTGGGGATCCCCCCTTTTGGGAGCCAGAGTATGCTTTCTAGTTCAGAGTCAACACTGTTGGCTTCAGAAGAAGTTAAGAAAATAAGGGGGAAAAAATTCCTGTTTGCAAAGATACTCAGAGAGAAAAAAAAATCAAGATCTTAAAGGTGTAAAATGGATTCTGAGACTCTTCCTAGAAGGTTAAGTACTCAGAATGTCAGATATTTCATCTTTCTCTGTCCCTCTAGGTGTGGAATTCTTATTTTAGCCTGGCAGTTTTGTTCATAAATCAGCCAAGCCTTCAGCTAGAAATCACCACTTCAGCCAAAAGGAAGAAGATTCTAGACAAGTAAGACAATTGTCTCCTATTCATCTCCCTACTACTCACCCAGATGGGGCTATGTTTCCAGGAGAGGCTCCTTCAGAAGTCCACAAGGTTTCCAGCTGGGTAGTTTTCCAAGGAGCCAAATGTGGGAGTTAAGAGCCAAATGGCTTAGCATTTGGGGAAGCATTAGAAACAAACAGTGCTGGCTGGGCATGGTGGCTCACACCTGTAATCCTAGCACTCTGGGAGGCCAAGGCAGGTAGATTGCCTGAGCTCACAAGTTCAAGACCAGCCTGACCTCATCTCTAAAAATAGCTGGGCGCTGTAGCAGGCGCCTGTAGTCCTAGCTACTTGGGAGGCTGAGGCAGGATAATCTGATCAGCACAAGAGTTTGAGGTTGCTATGAGCTGTGAAGCCACGACACTCTACTGAGGGCAACAAAGTAAGACTCAGTCTCAAAAAAAAAAAAAAAAGAGAAGAGAAAAACAGTGCTGTTTTGCAGTCCTGTTTTCTTGAACCTTCTCCTAACAACTGACTCCTATGTTACTATTCTCAGGTATGGAGACATGCGTGTTATGATGGCTTATGAACTCTTCAGCATGTGGCAGAATTTGGGTAGGTTTTTTTCTCCCTATTCTTCTTCCTTTTCACTTATTGCATACCCAAATAGAAAGTAACAAGACTAATAGCTTTACTAAGGCTTTATAAATATTAATTCAGAGCCAAGAGATCCTTACATATCTTTAACATAACACCTCAAATGGATGGTTGTAGCATGTGTGCATAAAGCCATTGGCAGGGAGAGTATGGCTAAGAAATAAGACCTAGTAATATATATATGTACAGTCCCTTTTTTGCGAACTAAAATCAGAAGGTGAGAAAAAGAGAACGCCCATCATTTTTTTCACTTTAAGAATCCATTCCTATTAGATCCTCTGTGCTCTTCCTGTCCCAGACTAGATGTTATAGGCTCAGAAGATAGATCTTGGGGGTACCCAGCTCATGGGCAAAGGCAGCTATTTTAATAAATACTGAAATACTTCTTGGGTCTCTGGTATTAATGCATCCAGATCAGATACCTGACACTGATTACATGAAGGAACATAATTGTAGCCTCTCAGTAAGATTGATTTTAACTTCCTCTCTTTGCATAGCTTCTCCAATATGTACACCTTTAAATCCAAACTTGTCAAATCAGTGTTTTGGGTAGAATTTGGGGTGGCCATAGTGTCTAGATTCTAAATGGCCTTTCAGGATGCTAGAGAAGCTACTGTTACTATTTCAAGAAAAATCTGCTTTCAACTGAGCTCATACCTCTAAAATGGTAGGAATGATGGCCATAAAATCCTGTAGTCCTCTGTTAACCATTCCTGCCATTAACCTAGAGGCAGCAAGCAAAGCGTAAGGATTCCAGCAAGCAATAAGGGGATACATTTCTATCCATAGATGGGGATACATTTCCTCAAGCAGACTTTCTAGCTGCAGTACTCTTACTCTCTATATCCAGCATAGATTAGGTATGGATTTTCACCCTGAAGGTGACTCTAAAATTTCCAGGAATGTAACAGGCAGGCAATCATGCTAACTACCACAATCAGAATATGAAGAATCAGCCTCAGGGCTAACATTTACAGTTCTTAGATAGTCTTTCAAAATGGAAGAAATCAAAAAAAGATTCTAGATTTGTCTGATTAAAGCCAGTTCTTCCTTATTGCTTTTGGTAGAAATGACATTCTGCGATCCAAAAAAAAACTGGTTTTCCTTGGCTGTAGCAGTTATTGCACATACCCATAATTTGTCTCCTCCCTAGTCTCTGAAGAATTTAAATCAGAGCTCTGAACAATGACTCACTCTGTTTCACTATTGCAAAAAAGGAAAAGTCCTATCCCACAGTCCTCAGGGCTGGCTCTGGCTTCTGGTACTAGGCCCTAGATGGCAGAGGGAAACCTACATCTCTCTCACTTACTGTGGAAAAGCTTCATTAAGAAAGTTGAAGGAAGATTCACATGTACCCTTATATTTCAAATTGTATATAAAAACAACACACTGTACTCCATGACAGTATTAATGTACACAGCTATGATTTAATTAAAAAAAAAAAAGAAGAAGAAGAAAGTTGAAGGATAAGATAAGCTGAGCTATGTAGGTATAGTGCTATTATCAGAAATACGATGTGGTGATGGGGTTTCAGAGTGGGCAAAGGGAGAATCTCTAAGCCTATCAGAATAGGGCTGTCCAGGAGGCACATGAACACAGTACCTCCTTTTCACATGAAGCAGTGAAAAGTTCTGTGGACTTCACACCTTAGGGAGTGGGATAGTCCGATTATTTAAAAGTTTCTGGATTAGAGGTAGAAACCCCAAGAAGAGTGCATTGTGTTTAAGCAGAAATATATGGATTTTCCTTGCTACATAAATGCTGTGAATAGACCATCTGAAACTATCACATCATACTCAGAAACTCATTATGTCTGGAGTAGCAAACTCTGGTCCTTCATAGAAATTTTCAGGTAGTTGTGGAACTTTTCAGAAAGTTCTTTGGAAAAGCAGTTTTGTATCTGTTGAACATTTGCTTCAATAGGGCTGGGCCAGTTTTATCCAAGAAAAAGCAGAAAGAAAATACCTCAGAAACTGTAGGGGAGAATTTACTTTGCTCTTAGAAGCTTCCAGTACAGATCATAGGATGTGCTATGGCCCCACTTGGGAAGCTTCTATTGAAGGAGAAAAGTAGGCATGAACTAATATCTGTTGGGTTTTGTTGTTCAGGTGAACATAAGATCCACTTTATTCCGGGAATGATTGGTCCTTTTCTGGGTGTGACATTGGTCCCACAACCAGAAGTGCGGAATATCATGATTCCCATTTTTCATGACATGATGGACTGGGAACAAAGGAAAAATGGCAACTTTAAACAGGTAAGACAATACCTGGCAGTGTTCAAGGTACTCTCCTCTGGGATGGACCCCTTTCTTCAGGCAGGTGGCCTAGGTAACCAAGCCATGGTTATAGTGAGGATGGACTGTAATTCAGTCAAGTCAGATCCTGTTCAAGGATTTTCCCTTACTTGCTAATCAGAATTGATTTTTCGATTTTCTTCATGAAGCTAGAGACCAGAAAAGAATCAGAGGAAAAGAATCAACTTCCTGATCAAGGAGAAAATGACTGAGACTGTAACCACTCTATTTTATTCAGGAAAGGGCCTGGGAGCATGTTGCCCTTCTTCAGAGAATTCCCACTATATGATCCAGGCATTTCTAGGGCTAGAGCCTGGAGCAGATGATGTCTTATGACTCAGGTAGCCTAGGATATCACAGACTACTGCACAGAGGTGTTGGTGCAGGAGATACAAGCCCCTTGACTTCTGACTGAGTAGCTTCAGATTGTCCTCCTGTGCAGTTCTTCTGCCACCACTAAAGTGGGAGATATAGTCCCTGCACTTATATCTGTAGCACCAGGGAATAGTATTAGGATGGACCACTAGGAACTAGCTATAGGCAAACCAATTTTAGCCAATAAAAGAAATAACTTGCTAGCAGCAAAAACTATCCACTATGAGTTGGCCTGCATTGGGAGATAGGGAATTTCTCTTTGCTAGTGATCTTCAAACAGAAGCTCCCAGGAAGCCTGTTGGGGAAATACCTTCATTGGCTTGGGAATTATACCAAGTTCTCCATTAAGCTCCCTCTGACTCTGGGATTCTGGGACAAACGTGTGGTTTTATAGTAGGTAACTATAACAGTAAGAAGAAGACCAAGAAAACATCAAGTTTTAAATTTTTATTTATTTAATTTTCAACTTACATAGAGCAAAATTCATGTATTTTGATTTGTGGTATAACTACCACTACAGTGAAGAGTTTTTTAAATTCCTAAAAATTAAATTTTTCTGTCCCTTTTTAGTCAACTCTTTCCTCTCTCCTTCACCAATGCAACTACTGATCTGTTCTTAATCACTATCATTATGCCTTTTCATGAATGTCATACAAATAAAGCTTTTGAGACTAGGTTTTTAATTTAACATAATACTTTGAGAGATTGCTCATGTTAGTAGTTTTCTACTGCTGAGTTGTATTTACTTTATTTACTATTTGAAAGGCACTTAAGTTATTTCCTTTCTTTGGTGATTATGAATAAAGCTACTAAAAATATTTCTTTATAGCTTTTTGTATGAATATAAACTTTTTTTTTCCTTAGGTGAATACCTAAGAATACGATTGTCAAGTTTTGTGTTAAGTGTATGTTTAGCATTGTAAGAAGCTATCAAACTTTTTTCCAAAGTATCTGTACCATTATATGGTGTGTATATATATATATATATATATATGTAAAAACATATGACAGCAGCAATATATGACCAGCTTCTCCATATACTAACCAATTCTTAGTATTATTGTTTATTTTAGCCATTCTAATACATGTGTAGTTGTACGTCATCATGGTTTTAGTTTTTATTTCCCTAATGACTAATGATGTTGATTATCTTTTCATGTGCTCATTTACCATTCTTATATTTCTTTGGCAAAATTAGTTCAAAATTTTTGCTCATGGCTAGGCACAGTGGTTCACATCTATAAGCCTACCCTCTGGAAGGCTAAGGCAGGTAGAGCTTTATAGTCTTTTTTTTATTTCAGAGACAAGAGTCTCAAGCTGTTGCCCTGGGTAGAGTACTGTGGCCTCACAGCTCACAGTAACCTCAAACTCTGGGGCTTAAGCAGTTCTCTTGCCTCAGCCTCCCAAGTACCTGGGACTACAGGCACCCACCACAATGCCCAGCTATTTTTTTTTTTCTTGGTTGTAGTTGTTGTTGTTTGCCAGGCTTGGGCTGGATTCAAACCCTCCAGCTCTGGTTTATGTGGCTGGTGCCCTAGCCGCTGAGCTACAGGTGCAGAGGCAAGAGCTTTATAGTCTTAAAATTAGGCAGCATGAGTCCTCCAACATTGCTCTTTTTTATTCTTTTCATGTTTGACAAAGATACTTTATTTTTTCTTTATATTTTTGTTTTGTATACATTCATAGTGTAAAGTGCAATTTTTCTACATTGATTTATAGCACTATGGTGGAGTTATGGCCTTCAGTGCATATTTCTGAAGCAATGCTCATTATACCCACCAAGTAATTGCCTATCATTCCTCCAACCCTGACCCCTCCAAATCTTCATTGTCCATCATTCTACATTCTGCTTCTTTGTGTGCGTATCATTTAGGGTCCATTTAGTGTGTGAGAGCTTGCAGTATTTGTTCTTCCCTGAATCATTTCACTTAACATAAGGGCTTCCAGTTACATCCATGTTGCTGTAAAAGACAGGATTTTATTCTTGTTTGTGTCTGAACAGAATTCTGTTGTCTATATATATGTCATATTTTCTTTATCCAGTCTTCTTTTGGCTATTTAGGTTGATTCCACATCTTTGCTATTGTGAATAGCTGCAGTAAACATAGATGTACAATTATCTTTGTTATCTATTGGTTTCTTTTCCTTTGTGTAGAAACCTAGTACTGGAATTGCTGGATCAAATGGTAGTTTTATTTTTAATTATTTGAGAAATCTCCATACTGTTTTCCATAGAGGTTGCACTAATTTACATTCCCACCAACAGTGTTTAGAGACTAGGCACGGTGGTTCACGCCTGTAATTCTAGCACTGTGGGAGGCCAAGACAGATGGATAACTTGAGCTCATGAGTTTGAGACCAGCCTGAGAAAAAGTGCGATACTATCTCTACTAAAAATAGAAAAACTGGGCTGCGTCTGTGGCTCAGTGGGTAGGGCACTGGCCCCATATACCGAGGGTGGTTGGTTCAAACCCAGCCCCAGCCAAATTGGAATAAAAAAATAGCCAGGCGTTGTGGCAGGCACCTGTAGTCCCAGCTACTTGGGAGGCTGAAGCAAGAGAATCACCTAAACCCAGGAGTTGGAGGTTGCTGTGAGATGTGTGACGCTACAGCACTGTACTGAGGGTGATAAAGTGAGACTCTGTCTCTACAAAAAATAAATAAAGAAATTAAAATAAATAAAAAATAGAAAAACTGAGGCAAGAGGATTGCTTGAGCCTAGGAGTTGGAGGTTGCTGTGAGCTATGATCCAAAAAAAAAAAAAAAAACAGTGTTTAAGAATTGCTCTATCTCCTCAACCTTGACAACATCTATTATCTTTTGATGTTTTAATAGCCATTCTGATTGGAGTAAAATAATATCTCATTATTGTTTTAATTTGCATTTCTCTGATGATTAGTGATGTTGAATGTTTTTTTTTCACATACCTTTTGGCCATTTGTTTGTCCTCTTTTGAAAAATGTCTATTTATATCCTTAGCCTATTTTTTAATGGGGTTATTTGGTTTTTATCACTTTTGTTGAGTAGTATAAAGTTTGCAAATGTTTTCTCCCATTCTGCTAGTCTCAAACTCCTGGCCTCAAGTAATCCTCCTGGCTTGGCCTCCCAAAATGCTGAGATTACAGCCACTATACCTGGCCTCTATTTGTGTTATAAATTCTTTGTTTCTTTCTTTTCGTCTTTCTGTTGATGAAATTTTGTCATATTGCATGTGATTGCTTTTTATTCCTCCTTTGTGTGACTGTTTTGTAAGATCTATATGTTCACTGGGAGTTTAAAACCAGCCTTAGCAACAGAGAAAGTCCTCATCTCTACAAAAAATGACAAACTTAGAGGGGGTATGTATCTATTTTTCCACCTACTCAGGAGGCGGGGAGACAGAACTGCCTGCAGCCATGAGTTTGAGGCTGTGGTGAACTATGAGGACACCACTGCATGGTAGCTAGGCAAGAGAGTGAGATACTGTCTCAAAAGAGAGAGAGAGACCTATGAGTTTACGTTTTCACATGTTTTCATGATGGTGGATATTGCCCTTTTGTTTCTGTTTTTGAGACCCCTTTAAGCATTTCTTTTCAGGGCCTGTCTAGTGGTGATGAGTTCCCTTAGTGTTTACTTATCTGGAAAAGACTATTTCTCTCTCTTTTATAAAGGTTATTCTGGCAAGATATAAAATTCTTGGCTAACAGTTTTTTTCTCTCAACATTTCAAAAATGCTATCTAATTCTCTTCTGGCCTGTAAGGTTTTTGCTGTGAAGTCTGCTATTAGTCTGCTGGGGTTCCCTTTATAGGTGATTAGATGCTTTCTCCTAATAATTTTAAAATTATTTCTTTTACTTTAACTTCAGATGTTCTGAATATAATATGCTATGGTGAAGTCCTTTTAGCAATGTGTTTGCCTAAAGATCCACTGGTATCATACTTCTTGGTTTTTACATTTTCTGTTTCTTTCTGTTGATCCCCGCACATCTAGTGTAGTAGTCATTTCTAATTTTTTTGAAATTACTTTTGTAGGGAAAAATTTTCTCCTGAAGATTATATATGTTTCTGGTTGAATAGGACAGTTTGACTTTGGTTTTGGATAGCTTTAGTAATGTGTTTTTTATATGTTATCTTCAGTAGTACATAGGGTCAGTGGGTACCTGTTATTTCCTTGGTGACTTAGCATATGGTTATTAGTTGAGGCTATGATAAAGTTTTGCTAGGGACTTGGATGCTGACTGAATCAGTCTTCAGGCTCCAGTGGTGGCAATAATGGATTGAGTGTAACTGTTTTTATGCTCCAAAGAAGCTTGTGACACAAGTGTTAGTGGGTCCTAGCAGGCCAATTCTTGGGCCTCTAGGTCACTTGCTCAGAAACTACAGAGTGTCCAAAAAGTTGCCCCCTAAAGTCCCCTTACATAGGGAAAATGAGAAATTGTAGCTAAATGAAACTTTAGTAACAAAATATTCATTATAAAATTTTACAAAGAAGTGACCAACATGTAGAGAATATTTTGTAAATATTTTGTAAAATTTTGTAACAAATATTTTATAAATAAAGGTACATTTAGGTACAGTGTCCCATTTACCCTATGTATGGCAAGTTT